GATCATTGGGCACGCATCTCGCGTTATTGTTAGTCAAGGTGATTCGTCTGTAGCAACGCGCGTGCGCAATTGCACTGCCGTCCCTTTTTTCGCCCACAATAATTGATTTACACGCGTGGAAAACGTATTCCGATCAATAGAGATGGAAAGAGCGAATGAGATATAGACAGAGAGAGAGAGAGAGAGAGAGATAAATTGGGTAGAAAAGCTTGCTTCAGGCTATAGACTTGCACAATGGCTTTTGCACAGTACAATCTTCTTCTGACGCGCGCGGCGTTTTAGTTACTATTTTTTTTCTTCTTCGCCATCTTTCTCTTTCTCCTTCTCTCTCTCTCTCTCTCTTTCTTTCTATATACGCTTTCTCCCTTTTGTGGCTTGCAGCTACTATATTTTCCGTGAATAAATCATCGAACTACAGTCGCGCGAAAGGTATCATTATTTTTTAATAATTCATCTAGCTGACAGGAATTATTCAAGGGATCAGTAACTTTGAATTTTATATCGCGTTATAGGCGATAGAATCTAAACTCAATGAATATCAATTTTGTATTCTAGTTATTATGCGTAGAAGCGTCTATACTTTATTTGGACACGCGTAATATTTCTTTCAACATTCACAACTCAATAGCTCGTACATGTTCGTTACGACTGCAGCCGCTATTTGCATTCGAATCTTGGGATTCATTGAATTTTGTATTCCTGACGTAAGACTACTTGAACTTGGCGCATAGAAAGAAACTAATTTCGATTTCAGTCGCGCAAACAAATCACTCCGACACAATGGCAAATTAATCAAGTGGCTCTCGGAGCTCTTTAGTTTCACTTTCGCTCCTTGTTCCGTTGAACCGTTGGCTATATAGCGCGGCCTGCAGAGGCACTCGGTGGCGCACTGCCACAGCAACCGGAAAAACGACGGCATGCTTGTCGAATTTGATTTTCACCGCAACTCATGCGACCGCTTGATTATCCGGTAGACATTCCGCTTGAAGTTGCTCCGCCGTAACGACGAGTTGACAAGAAAACAATGCCGTTCGCCAGGATTTGCGGATTACAGAATGCAAAGTGTGTGGACAAGAAATTTAATTGAATTTATATTCGTTATTTTCGTCGTAGTTTCTCTGAAAGTAAGCACTGCATTGCTCAAGACACAATTCAATTGAGAAAAGAAAACATAGATATGAATTCAACTTCATCAAAGTTGTCTGCACCTGAAATAAGGTGTTTAGTAGCATGGACAACGTCTTCGAGTTTAATCGATAGAACAGTATTTAAAAACATTCGTTCCAAACTACAAGCATCATAAAACTCAATGGCCACAATTTCAGGACTATATTCTAAAAGAAACAAACTCCTATATATCGAGTTTTCTCAAATAGTTTCATTTTTCTTTTAAAAACTTACCGACACTCTAATTATTTTATTGTCATTTATTTCATAAATTAATGTCTCACTTAAAACAGTTACTGCATATTTCGTCGAGAAAAACATATGCTATTAAAAAGTTTTACAATTTATTCACAAATATTTCTTCGTGCGTATACCTATATATATTGACGAAATGATTGTCAATATATTCACAAATTTCATCGCTTGCCGTATCAATGTGAAATACTAACTACATTCACATTTATAATACGCAACTTATCATCAACGTTCAGATCTGAAAAGTAATCGGTGATAATTAAAAATTTTATAATAAACAGTTGATGTATAAGTAAACAATTAACAAATATTTATTTATCTTGAAGAGAAGCTTCCCATCCCCATCCAGCGTTATTCACAAGTATGTGAACAGATTTTTAATTCTTTTCTACCATCCAAAGACGTCGATGACTTTGCTGATATTTGATAGCTACTTTTTCAATTCATCATTCCATTGTTTAATTAAATTGCACAAAACAAACTATTTATCCACATGAAATAACAAAAAGCTTTTCAGCGTAACCAAAGAATGAAATAATTTTGTGCAATTACAGAAAATAACTAAACAAGATAGCTCATTGATGTCAACTGTCATAATGATGATTTGTTATTTCTTAATATTTTACGAATGTACGTTGATAGTAGTTTTTCAGTTTATTTATTTTCAAAATTTAATAATTTACTTACGATGGCAGACGCGAGTCCCACGTACATACGAGCTACTACTATGTGTTGAACTCTCAGCCAATCCGATTACGAATACACCAACTACACTCGACTAGCCATCCACATTTTTTAGAAAAGAAAATCAACTGATACCAAATTCACAAACAAGATTTTAATAGCTATTGTGCCTGTCAAAAATAAATACACAGACCTAGCGCTTATTTCATTATTGATTTTGTAAATTATCAATATTCCGAAATGTGCAAGATTTTGAATTTGAATCGCTTAGCTATCCGTGAAAGAATTGTAAATGAATCTGGATTCCTTCCAAGATTAGAGAGAATAAGCATATCTATTCCCAGAACCGCATGAATGCCTATCAATAAGCAAGTTTAGCCGATAAAAAAAGAGAAGTAGTGAGCGCAAAGAACTTTCCCCGTGGTCTATCAAAGTTTAGTTTATTTAACCGAGCGAAGGTAAAAGAAAGTTAACGAACGTCAACTCGGCTGCATAGCAGAGACGACGGGAGAGAACTTATCCAAGCGTTTCCCTCTTCATAAGCGTGGCTCGCGATCCGAAACCCCTCTTCGGCCCGCGACGTACACATAAATCCAGCAGCGGCAACTCGAGGCGCTGGCTCTTGCCTGACGTCAAAGTTTGATTGGACGTTTGCGGTGTAGTAGGTTCGCGTTTACAGCTCGCCCGCGCGCAAAGCCCTTCTCTCGCTCGCGCAGCGGCACGCTTATAAAGCCAAGTGGACGGATATCTGCAGCCACCGTCGCCCGTGTGTACGTTCAGCGGCGCTGAGGAAGACGAGCGTGGCACGGATGTACAGCCCCCGCGTGCACACTCTCGCGCGGAAGATTCGAGAGGAGTTGCCAAACTTGCTCATTAATGGATTGGAAGTTTGTTACCGGCTAAATCTGCAAGACGACGTGGAGCTGCCAGCAACAGCTGAGCTGGCTAAAACGTACCATGGCAATTTGCACGCACGTGCGATCCCAGACGCCGGCGAGCCGGCGAGTGTGAGTGCGAGTGCGCCGAAGCGAGGGCCTCGTATAGTCTCTCAACGGTACCCCGTAAATATTCGCAAATTTACATGTAAATAAGCTATATTGCCGGCTGCCCGCCAGGGATCTATCTAGATATACGCCTCGAGCTTCGCTTTATACGTTTATGCAGTTTCCATGTGGCTTCGTCATCGTCGTCAGCTACAGCCACGCAGAGGCAGGCTTCCAATCGACTGACGCGCGCCTCACGCTCCACTGCCGAGAATTTTGCTTTCGGCTTAATTTCCCAATTTGCTTCATTTTATTAGAAGAATATCCCGTCGCAGGGCTTCGACAGTCTGAATTTAATATTTTCGACCCCCGCTACAAGATTGTTGCGTCCCGATTCGATCGCCCTTCTAAATATCTCGCCCAGCGAATAAAATGCTGTTCATCGAACGACAAATTTACACTATTTGCGACGGAAACGATCGATTCCATCGGTCAAGCACGCTCGTATTAGAATTCAATTCTTACGCATACATGATGAAAACATATATATACGCGTCCGTCAAAACTATAAATTCAGCCTCCTGATACGGCCCTCGTCTGAAATATGACTAGCATGCATACGAGTACAACTCGAGTTACGATCCAATCAAAAAGCATAAGATATCGCGCCGGCATCGTATACCGCGTTTCAAAAAAATCGAAACGCCCGTGCCATTAATAGATCTCTAATTGCGTCTTGCCGGCGCGCTGAATAATTCCATCGCGTCCTTTATCGGCGTCGCGATCAAGACCTCAAGCGCTCATCTGGCAATCTGTCGTGTGTCGTGCATTTATTAATTCTCCGACGCGCGCGGCGCGGCGGTGCGCACACGAGAGAGACTTTCTTATGCATAGCGACGCCGCGATAATCTTTCGCTCCGGGGGTTGCTGCCGCTGATGTTGCTGCTGTGGTTACCTTCGTTAAATGAATAATAAAATCTCGTTGAATAAATTAAGAAGTCAATTTGCAGCTGATTATGCTGCCGGCGAAATTCTTCTCTTTTTTTTTCTTGCGTGCGAACTTGCGTGATGCATTCGCGTCAACTTGAAAATTATTGTCGGGTGCAATAATCAGCGACCGAATGAGATTTCAATCAAATTTTTATTAAGTCACAGGATCAAGAAAAAATACTTACGCCTCGCTTGTCATGGCAAGACCCTTCTTAAGCTTTTACTGCTTTCTGATCAATTTCAAGTCGATTGTCTCGATCATTCTCTCATTGGTCTATTAGATCTCAGGAAAATAAATAAGAGCATCGGTAACAATAAGAAACAATACTAAAATACTTTGCTAACGATAAGATATTATGTTTGTTAAAAATCGAAAGTAATTATATAATTTTTTACTTTCTCATTTCAAAATGTTGTCTTTTCAATAATTCATAACATAATATTTTTAGCTTTTGTCTGAAAATCTCAAACATTCTCAGCCCGATGAATTAATTAATTTTTTCGACAATAGATTAAATGAATTTTTCTTCATTTTTTGATTATTGTACAATCATATTTCAATTTTTAATAATTAAATATTGAAAATGATAAGATCTCAACATTAAATTACGCTAATATCTTGTTTATCGATTTTATGTATCACTTTCATTGTAAAATAAATAAACTTTCATGATACCGACTTCTTTCAGCTGAGTCTTTTCTTATTCAAACGTTGACTGGTTACTCAAATTTGAAAGTTACGTTTTACACTGGAAATCGAAATAAATTTTTCGAATTAACGATTGAGATTATTAAATAAGATGAAATGAAAAGGACATAGGAATAGCAGGATTTTTTAGTAATAAATACTCAAGTGAGATTTATAGAAAAACATTTACATATTTATATATATAAAATATAATACAATTTATTACAGTGAAGACGATAGTGTAGCTTGTATCGACTTTGCAAATCACGGAGCTTCGTCGCCGCACGCGCTTTTGCTGCGCGGGCTTATATACTCAACAACGTCAGCACTTTCTCGCTTGTGTGTGTTTCACATCTTGTATTTTTTTTTGCTCTCTCTCTTTTTTTTATTTCGCCAACACTTCTGTCGCTCTCTTTGTTATTCAGCGCAAACTAGGTCGGTACAAATCTAGGACCTGTTTCCGGAAGGATAGAAAGGGCCATGTACGCGATATACATATATGCGTGAACAATAGAACTAGAAAGAACGTATCTATGTCTTTTTATGTTTTGCTTTCTTCTCATTCTTCTTTTTTTTTTTTTTTTATATCGTCGCATTTTTTTAAATATTTTCACTCGCCGATCGCGCGGAACGGAGAAAAACAGAATCGAACCGAGGGGGTAGTGGCTGGGAAAATAATTCTTGGACTTTTTTCCTTGTTGCCTACTGTACTATCACGGGTCGCACGTAAATCTATGACTATATACAGAGTTTTTCTTTGTCGTCTATTTACACGCATTTATACGCATTGCATTCACTCTGTCGCTTCTCTCTTTGCATTCTCCCTTTTTTTCGCACGCGTTTCCTGCATTCGCTCGCTTTATTTGTTTTCACGCCTGAGCTCGCGCCTCTACGTCGACGACGTATTTATTTCTCGATAATTCGCCGCGATGCATTTCTCACAAAAATAAATCGCCAACTGTGTGATGTTGTTGCAGCTGAAAAAGATGGTACACTCCATCGTTTCTAATTTCTATTTATCTTTCCCTTTTCTTTCTTTTTTATTTTGGTGTTCATAAATAAATTCGCAACATCTTGTATCTCTATATTTGTTCAACGAAAATAACTTTGGGCATGTGTACCGTCTGATTCAGCTGCGAAATAAAATAGAAAATCGATAATCATCGTACGGCGAGGAGGCGATCTCACAGCGTGCGCACCTAATTAGTAAATTCTTCTACGTACAATACATACAGCTTGAACGGCTCCCGACGCTCGGCCATTGTGCGACTTTCCCGTACGTAATGTTGAGGTGTTCGTGAGCGTATGCGTGTGTGTGTGTGTGTGTGTATTTTCGCGCTGATATGTGTCACGAGTTGAAGAGACTGCGGAGTGGATCGATACAAGAGAACTCGGAAATTGAAATATCTTCGTCGGGGATCTGACAAGTGAAGTGCAAAAGGAGGTCGTTGCCGTAGATAATTGAACTTTCCTCGGATTGAACGTTTTCACGCGCGCACATACAGACACTTGGAGCAAAATGAATAATCGAGAGCCGCATTATAGAAATGGAAACTGAAACGCTCTTCGTTACGCGTTTGGATGCCCGAAAAAGAAAACTGTCGACTATGATAAATCTCTATATTCTCCTTCTCACATTGCTGTGTAATGGTGCATCGAACTACCTATAAACCGCAATTTATATCTCGTAAACCTTCGAGTGTGAGAAGTGCTCAACAACACTTTTCTTGATTGTTCTGGTTATATCACCGGCAGTTTTTTCTTATTTTCTTTTTTTTTTTTATTTTCATCTACGTAACGCTCGTAACGCGTGAAATTTTTTGACGGTCTGATATATATTCTCGTCATAATCAACAGCCTTTGAACCAACGCTTGAACGTTACTTGCATCTCTACATATTAAAAGCTCTCAAATAGATTTTGTTTCTTATTTCGTTTGAAATGCTGGTTTCCTCGAAAAACCTTCGCCTTCGATTAACTTTCGAATTCGTAAAAATGTTTCTTTTCGTCAAAGAATAAAAAAATAAACGAATTTTTTCGTCGTACACTCAATGATGATTATCACAATAATTTTCCAAAGGCCAAAGGCAAACGTTTTTCCGGTAGCGCAGTAATCAAGATCATATCCAAAAAATTGATCGAGCCTATAATCACGCTACGCACACAGACGTCCTCTATGACACCGATGAATAATTCAGATATTAAATCGTAAAATATGTAACTACGACATTGGTAAATATATTTGATTAAACTCTCTCTTTCTCCCCCTTTTTCTGCGCACCGTGTGTTCGCGGATTATAATGTGAAAATCTAACATCGACGAATCGTTCAAAAGATATATGGTGATCAGTTAATATGTCAGTCAGAGGGTTAAATAAAAGGCAAGCAGCAACTTTATTATACTGTGTTGAGGGAGAAGTTGTGGCAGGAAACGTATTGATATATAGATGTGCAACGGTATTATCAACGTAGACGAGCACGTATGATCGGTGTTCCTCAAAATCTATCATTCAGTCGTATAAAAAAAAAATAATCGATCGATCGTGAGCTCGTTTACGAGATATACAGAAAGCTTAACAAGAAGTGGAAAAAAAAACATCGTACGTGACTGATCGCTCTCTCGTACGTAAGAGAACCTTAAGTAGGAATAAATAAACGCTTCGCTCGTTAATTATTAATAATATATGCGCTCGTTAATTTTTTTTCGTTTTAAAAAAGTCTCGAACGAACTGTACAGAACGACATGTAATATATATAATTAAGAGATATATATATATATATATACGTGTCATATATCTCTGCGAAGTAAAAGTAACGATCGATTCCCGTTCAAAGTCAACTGGTCGATCGCCACTTTCACTCGTCAGGACAGCAGCGAGTAGCCGAGCAACTATTCTTGCATGCGCGCAAAAAGAGAAAACAATTAGTTAAAGCAAGTACGGTGATTAGTGTGGCAGGAACGAACGCTGCTCAGCTGCTCCCGTCTTTCTCATTCGATTAGTCTCGCAACTTGCTGGCGAGGTTGTTACGTATAATACATAGTGTGTGTGTGTGTATGTGTGTGTGTAGTTATATACGTATGTATGTGAGGCAGCCTAACCAGTAGTTAACAAAATTTACAACGCAAAGAGTTAATAGCGGCAATAAAAATAATTGAGCGGCAACTCGGGTGCTGCGCTGCTTCACCTGAGCGCCACTGCCACGAGTGTCAGCACTAACGCCGTCGACGATGCAGACCTTATACTCGACGCCGCCGACGACGAGTCACTGCTACGTGACACTTTATTGCGTACCAGCTGGCCTCTCTCGACGGCATTCGACTCATCGCTGTCGACGCCACCAATCTCACCGTCCAACAGCATTGACAATTTGTTTCGCTGCGGTTTCCGCGTGCACGGAACTTTCGGCTCTTGGTATGGCCAAAGTATTCGTGGATAATGCGATTCCAGTGAAGTTTCCGGCAGGATTGTACCTTTCGTGCTCGAGCACAGTGGCTTGAACGTACCGGTACGCGTCGCATCCGCGAAGTTCTGGAAATTCGTTTGCCAGTCGTAGGTGACCAAACGCTCTTCCAACGTCATGCCTTTCAGTTCTGGGGGCGATATTATCTTCAATGGAGACGGACCCCTGTAACGCGAGAGACAGAAAAAACGACGCCTCGTTAATATGCAACGCTGATGAAAATGCTCGGTGCAATAAAACTGCAAGTGCGAGCGAAAAATTAGTTGAATTTACAATTAAGAGTCGGTTGGCTATAGCACGAAGCGAATTTGCAGGCTAGCCGACGTCGAAACATTTGCGCAAGAAGTATAAAAAGAAAAAGAAAAAGAAAAAGAAAAAGAAAAAGAAGAAGAAGAAGAAGAAGAAAAATGGCATTAGTTAGGGAATACTCACTCAAGTTTGTCGATGCCAAGGCTGTGAAGTACAGTTGGTAGTGCCGGTAGCGAGTAGCACAAGGACAAATCGATCCTCGGGTAGTACAGCGCCGAGACTAGACAAGTTTCCTCCTTGGTCGATAGTCCGCCGAGCGTTATCGTCTGGCGCGTTTGCGACGAGTACGTGCACTCGGCTATCAAATGATCACCCTGTACGAAGCGAACAGCGCGAACGACGATCGCCATTTAATTAACTTGCCCCTGTACTCGATAATTCATTGTTTTTCAGTTGCTCATTTTTTGCTCACCGGCAGAACCTTGGCAGGTCGCTGAAGCCTCCTGTACTCTTGATAACTCGGATCGTAACTGGCATCCGCGGCGATGGGTGGCAATTCCTTGCCGTCCCTGATCTGCCTCAGTCGTATTTTCTTGCCGAGCTGATGCGTATGCATGATGACGGCGAACACATTGACACCGTTATCGGGTACCGTGTCCTCGGTACACCTTGCGATACAGTGTCCCTCGGATATGACTTCCGGTTGTCCTGGTGGAATAATGTGTCTCCAATTGGGATCGATGCCTACGCTCAATACGCCGGCATCGTGTGTACGCAGTTTGTCGGTATAAAGAAGCCTCAAACCCGAGCTGTCGGTGACGAAAGCATCCAGTTGAGGATTCGAGTAGTGAGTCTCGAACATGTAGAATCGTGGCCCGTTGCGTGGGTCCAGAGCGTAGCCTGCCTCGGCCGGATAATTGAAGCCCTGCAAGACAGAACAATTTTTTTGCTCTTTTTAGTTTTCGGGTGGTCGCACACCAAATACAGAGAAAGGGAGAGAGAGAGAGAGAGAGAGAGAGATCCGCGCGCACAGCTGATTGAGTCGAGGCTTGATTAATCATCCCTGCCACCGAGCAGTAGACCGGATGGCAATAGCTGCTACCACGGCCGACCGACCGACCAGGGGTATTAGCAAACACGAGACGTTAGTTATTCTGGTAATTGGCACCTATGCGCAGAAGAGCAAGGTGTTCACCTGCAGCGCTTGGCTTTCTCGTATTATTGAAATTGTGTCATCGATTTTCATTTGCTTTCAAGTTCCAAAGTTCATTAACTATTGATTGGAGCCTATTTTTTTTTCTTCTTATTCTTGGACAAAGAGAAAGCACGACGATAGTTACTGTCGGAGAAAAAACTTTAATTTGAATAAACCAAAATTAAGCGTCGTAAAAGCGCCGTCGCGGCAAAAAAGCCAACAGCTCTTTACGATCGAGAAAGTCCGGAGAGAAAAAGCTCGCAATCTCGTCAGAGCTCGGTTCGGCCTACGCAAAGAAAAAAAATAAACGCTCATAATGACGCTGGCGCGAGAGACTACTGATCCGCGCGCGCGCGCGACTTAATAACCTCGGAAGATAGAGAAGTGTGCGACGAGGAGATGCGCAAAAAGCAGCGGCGGTGGCAGCGGCAACGAAGCCCGACGCGAGCAAGCGATCGACAAAAAAAGACAGAGAAAGAGAGAGAGAGAGAGAGGAAGAGACCTCAGCCGTGGCACCTTCGCAGGGAGCTCACGTTTCTCGCTCGCGAACGGGTTTACGGCACAGAACCCCGCGCATTGGTATGCATTACGCCGCGAGGAGGATTATCACGGTACGCGAGCAACTGGCCCTATAGTGTCTTCGCTGATAACGAGGCTAATGACTGCGCTGCTACGGATTGCTGCTGCTGTTACGTGCGTAGGTGTAAAATAATTCCAAACGGATTATGCTAATCGACTTCGACAAAGAAAAGAAAAAAAGAAAACAAGGAATATTCGATGGACGAAGCAGAGAAAAGGAGATAAAATGGAACGCGGCGCAAGCTACCGGGCGCGATGCGACGCGACGATGCGATGGAAGGTATAATGGCGAATGAAGGATAATCGAGGTCGGGATTCCGACTCGCTTAAAGCCCTTTTATTTCGTGATTTTTCTCTTTTTTCGTTATAACCTTCGACGACGACGAGGCTCTTTCATTTTTCCATGCCAGAGTATTGACCTATTTTTAATTTTTTTTGTCGCAGCCGCTTTTGTTCCGATGAAAACTTTCCTCGGTGAAATGTTTATTATTTTTTTTTTTTTCGCATTCACGGGTTTCTACATACGTGCATTCGAAAGATTCTGCAGCTGCGGCATCGTTATTTTTTCTCGTTGCTTCGTCAAGGCGTATATTAAAACATTTCAATTCCGCGGCACGAGAAATGTTTATTTTAAATGACTGCACGCGTGAAACGTCCCGTTTACCTACATAAACATCTTACTTGAAATGGAAATCGTAGTCACGAACTGCAGCACGCTGCAGCATCATATAAAAGAGAGAGAGAGAGAGAGAGATGGTAAAATGAACATAGAGGTAGAGAGACGAAGAGATACTCGCAGAACAGATGCAAATAAAGCGAATGTGACACTGACCTCTGAACCAAGACTCCAGGTAGCAGCAATGGTATTGCATTGAGCATGCAGCCAGTCTGTAGGTGAGCAGGCGGTGCCGTTGGTCCTCTTGGCCTCGATGAGCTTAGCCTCCTCGCCACGGCACTCGTACAGGGTCATGTGGTGAAGGTACTCTTGGCTTCCGGGTTGGATAACGGGCTCGTACTGCACATATACACAGATGTATATATAAAACGTTAAAGCTTAATGAGACAGCGTCAACTATACCTAAAGCCCGCAATAGAAGGGACGATTCGCGAGACTCAAGTTCAAGTGCATGCATTATTTATTCAGTCGGCTCCAATTTAGAATGCCGTTATGCAGGGACTCGACTATCCGTGGGATCGAATCATAGATATTATCATCGGTGCGCGCTTATAGAAGTACACTGACTTTTCAATCTTGCTCCCCGCCAGCGAGACAAGTAATTAGGCTGACTGCTAGACCCGTTTTGTCGATAATTTATTTGGCGAGGCCTGCGGTTCTTACGAAATAGACTCGGCAAACACAATCAGCAACTAAATGTTCATCCACCGTCGGCCTCGTTAACGCGGGCTGGGCAAAAAAAAAAAGCACGTCACGTGTGCCATACGTGCTACCGACCGCGCGTGCGCGCTAATTTCGTAATCCAAGCACGACGTCGCGGCGCTACCCGCAGCCTTGCTTGGCGCTGCACGCGAGCGAATTTCGTTGATTGTCCTCAGTGGTATCGAGAGAGCGGGCCCGTTGGTGTGAAGCGGAAACTGCCGGCGAGGAGCTCGACTCGCGGACGAAAGTAAGGCAGTCGAAGGGAAATACTCACCCTGACAACGTGATGTTTGCGTACGATTTTGGGTAGACTGAATACACGGCACTGGAGTAGCGTGTCTTGATCCATTGGCAAGCGTACCTGTAACACAAGATAAGCCCAAGAGTTTGGGGGATAAGTCGCAGTGTGCATTGTACTTTCTCACGAAGAGCGTGCCACGACCGGCGCCGAGGAAACAAAAGCGAGAGAAAATAAACGGTGACCATAGGGCGCTCCAATTATCCCCCTTCGTGAACTCATTACCGTTCGCGCGCGCGCGCGCGCGACGGCGGCGGCGGCGGCAACGACGACCTCGGACAACGACATAACCTTGACAGACGCCCCCGCGGGCCAAAACCCATCCGTTTTCTCACGGAGCGCTATCGTAAAAAAGGCGAACCTCGGCCAATTCGATTTCGAGTTCAAGCAAACATCGTAAATTTTACAACCAAGTTCGGGCTAGAAGACACACCAATTCCCACGATTGCGAAAGCCACCCTCCGATAGAGCGCGCGCGATGCCTACTTTTCTTCGTCTACACGTCCTTTGGCTGGGCTCGGATAAGTTTTGCGTTAGCGAGCGCGTAAAAGCCCCGGGGAAGGGGGGGGGGGGGGGTCGCGAGTTTGCGAGTTTCTTTACGACTGGTAACTGGTGAAAATACGTTGGCTAAAACAACCGACACTCGAAGTCGACATTTTTACATTGCGTACTTGTCAGGCGAGATAAATAGGTCACGCGCTTTTCTCTCCGATGAGTCGCTCCCCTTATTTTTTTTATCGTTTGCGAACGCAGCGACAAGCGCAAGGCCCGCGAAAAAAAGAGATAAATAAAAGGCAAAGTGCACAAGCGAACCCGAAAAGTAGATAAGCGGTGCAATGATTCAGCCGAACACGTATGTTTCAGCATATATAACAGTCGAGGGCAGCCCCTTGGATTTTTATCAGGTCGCGCGCGCGCAACAAATTTACAGGCTTATAAATCGCAAGTACACTCACGTGCAAAAAATATTCGTTCATTAGCGTGACGTTCGAGCGCGCGATATCGCATGCTAATTCACGCGGCGCAAGTGGACGTAGGCGTTTTGCGCATATGCACACTCGCCGGGCACAGCCAAGAAATTGGCCGAAGAACCCGCGGTCGATCTTATCGTCGTTAGTGCGCGTGTGTCGCCTGCTTCCTTCTCTATGAAAGCGAACCGAGAAAAAGCGTCGTTGAAAGGCGCCATTAACATTTCAAAGAGCAATCGCTTGACGCGCAAATCCAATTAACGTGTATACGAACGACGAGGAGAGGTTTAATCGCGCGAACAACCTTCTACCGGTCTCTTATTAAATATTGACTGTAATCGAGGTCAATGAACACGGAACGATAAATAATTCCGGCACGTGGAATAAAAATCGCGATGCTCCGCTAACTAACAAGAACGCTTTTTTTTTTTTTTCGTCTCTAATTATCTTTTGTTCCTTGGACGACAACGCGCCGGTGCTGAATATTTAACTGCCGCTGTTTTTCTCTCGCTCGGCATTATTAACGAAGCGCGAGCGCGCGATTGACCGCTCGTGCTATGAATATATGCATTCGACGACTGATATCAAAGTTTATGTTGCGCTTAATTGAGAGAGAGGGGGCGGGCTTCGCGGCCCTATACGTATACTGTGCGGTGCTTTATGATAATTGAATTTGCTGAAAATTGCTTCGTATTGCATAAATTCGATTTTATCGGTTGCGCCTTGACTAAATTTGAAAGTTTGCATTTAATGAACGCGCGTGTAAAGTTAAAAATGAAAATTGCTCGCATGAGCCCATCATTCGAAGGGTGAAAGGACCCATTGACGTTTATATATTTCTGCGCACTGTGTGGTATGATAATGCAACATATACAGATGGACATGTTTAATCATGCTATGAGAATCTCGATCCCCAATATCGTGCCCAATAGCTCGTTTACTGCACGGACGTTATCACAATGCAATGCAACATTAATACAAGAGTAGACACTTGAGAAAGCAAGTTTGAGAGGAGTATATAGACATAGCCCCCGGAGAAGAGGAAAAGAAGAGCGTATCATCACAGCTATACATAATTGCATAGTGTCCCATATAAATATTAGCTATGCAATCACGTGCCAAGACAAACACATTTTATGAAAAGGAAAAAAAGGGTAAAGTAAACTGAAAAACTCACCTGAGCATTAAACAGGTCCCAGACGTGAAGTACAGGTTCGGGTTCGATATTACGAGCATTAGTGCCTTGGTTAGCAACCCGTCGTGGTTGCACATCTCTCTGCACAAGGTAGAGCGGTCGTGTGCCTCTGACCGCTCCATCCGCTGGAAGTACACCAGCAGCCGACGCTGGCTCGTCAACGTGATATTGCCACACCACCTGCAGTGTGTCGTTCTGCAACACAGACATTTGCAAAACTTTGATTCTCACGACTATTATTGCCGACCAATTTTTACTCATGTGTCCCAACGTTTTTCCGCTTAATAATTCTTTTCTACATAATTCAGATTTCGTTTATAATACGGAGTATCAACCGAAGAGTTAAATAATCAGCCAATCTCTCGTCGTTGAGATATGAAATTATAAAAGAGGGACAATAGCCTCGCCTGTGATGAAATCACGATTCGGATTTATAGAAGAAAAAGCATTCGGCGGAATTAGATGAGGAGTGTAGAGAGAATATATACTCGACAGCCAATCCAATCGGAGAAACCCAACCCAAGTCGTATAGGAAAAGGATAACCTCGGTGTTTTTATTTTCTGTCCGATTGTCATCGTCGTTCCCCGTAGATATCTATACTTCCGTGTCGTCTGCCGAGCTTAATTAATTGAATTCTCTGAAGAAAAAGTAAAAAATAAGACATTTCTTTTCCCAGTTCGATATTAGCTTATATGAAATATTCTTCAAGCAGAAGGCAAATCACGATGACTTGAAGACAAAAGCTGTCGTCATTGATGAGCACAGGACGAGTCACGCTTTGAAAATTCCAATCGAAGACAATGGCCTCCGGGGCTTCCGTCTTCTGTACTTCGATCGAACAGTTATATATATATATATATTCACACACACATATACACAAAGGGATCAATCGGCCATTTCCATCTCGGTGAATAAGCGACGCCTCTTTGATCTTATTTCACGCGCAATGATTTGTTATGACTGTACGTTCGCCTTTATAACGGGATTCCTCAAATAACTCTCGTCTTTTGCTTAGGTATAGACTTCCGTTGAAAGCGCAGCTTCGACATGAAGCTTGATTAATCACGCGCAGGAAAATTATGCGAGTCCCAGTGTCATAAATACAAATTGAAATTTCTACTTGTTCGAATGGATGATTAACGAGCTCTCGAAACTGAATGTATATATACTTTCAGTAGCTGCAGATCATTAGTATACAGTTTGATAAGACTATGAGTAATATGCTCTCAAAGGAAAGTTTTCATTGTTTATTAGGCGCGCACTTTTCGCGCATTCAGACGTTTCAATTTGACGTTTGGCTAAATATATAAGCGCCAAGGGATTCGCCGCCAAACACCCGTGAACGAACGAGAACCATTAATTCCACATCTATCTCGGAGAAGCAAGAACCGGTTGCTCGTCTACTCTCCGTCCGTCACACAAAAAGTGTCGAGCCTCGACGAGAATTTCACCGCGAGAGATTACCTAATTGAATTACACTCGCGCAAACCAAGCTCCATCAGGTGTTTGTTTATGCGACCATTTCTTTTTTCGTTTCCTGAGTTACGATAAATCCTGTAGATTCGGGTTGAAAAGTCTTTGCTTTTCGTGGAAGTTTCTCTTATTTTTATCTCTATAGAGTGCCTTACGGTCGCGACGTCGACGACGACGATGACGACGACGACGACGACGACGACGACGACGACGACGACAACGACGACGACGACGACAACGACGCTTATAGCTCGAAACTTCTTGTACTTATGCATGTGTCTTTGGATATAGCTACACTACAACAGGAATATTCGACGAGGGCTTGCATCGAGATAAAAAAAGAATTGCATGTAGAAACGAGATTATTTAATCAGTATCTTTCAAATGATATTAAAATGAATAAAGTTGGAAGCATTAAATGGTCAGTGATCAAATGCTAATTAGTTGCACGGGTAAACATGAAACTCGTAAGCCAATAATCAAATAGCCATTAGCTACTAAACGTTAATGATGATTATTTTTCAGCGAAACGCTGCAATTCGTCGATTTATTCCGAAATTAGCCTTGAACCCATAGTAAACTCATTTACCTTCCTCTAGGAGCGAGGGAGGGAAAATAGGTCTCGGCACTTTTAATTGACGCAACGATTTGAACCGAGAAAATGCCTCGCGTAATTTGACTGACGCAAAGTAATTACCACTGCTCAGAGCGGAGTAAAGTTGACGTTGATTTGCCGTTCATTAAAATGCGAACAAAATCAATATTGCCAGTAAAAACATTCCCATGAAGAAAAGGGAAACTCCGATATTCAAGAGCGAAGCTGCTCGGGACAATTCAGAGGGCGAGGGGTTAGTCCGATTGTCCGATTATCGAGATATGCCTGTACGTGACCGTACGTTCAATTCGCGAGCGCAGTTCCCGAATTTAGGAGACTAAACTTCGCCACGCCCCGAACGATATCGCTCAGGTGTGCGCATTCGCGCACTCTCTCTCTCTCTCTCTCTCTTTCTCTCTCTTTCTCTCTCTTTCTCCTTGGGATTAGGATTGAAAACTTTCCAAGAGAACCCTCCTGCACCTTATCTATTGAAATTGCCTTGGGAAGGCGGAGGAGGGATGAAAATTTTTTAGTTGGAAATTCGACATTTTTCTATTTCATTATACAAACGGTTATTATTATTGGCTCGGGCTGTAAGTTGATTGATAATAATCGAATATCGACGTTATACTAGTTTTCCCTTGGGGAAGCATTCCAAATCACGCATCTGCGTAAAAGCCTACATAGACAATCGTGATCTTTCCATAAAATTCATGTCGATTGAATGATCCTCTTGATGCATAGCTTGTTGGAATAATTGATCAAAGGTGACGTCACGAACACACATATTACCTAAGGGTTCGTACTACTCTGCGTAGACGTTTGTAGTTCCTTTCGATCGACCGCCGTTGTGTACACGCGCAAATTACGCGGTATCCCTTTTTGAAACGAACGCGGCCTAATTAGCTTCCCATCGATATAATTAACGCGGCATTTCCTCTCGACTTCTCTAACGAGGCACACGCATGCAGCGCAACTTTCGATCGTGCGAATACCGCACTCGCAATTTTTTGTTTGCGCTCGCGCAAGTGAAACTCTCTCTCTCTTTATTCCCCGTCGAAGGGAATCGATTGAGAGATTACCGTCGCAACGCAACGAGCTCGGCTTTTTCGGACGAATTCCCGCGGCAGATTCATTATCGCTCTCGCGTGCAAGATGTACGTAATACGTCGCGATTACAGCACACACGCTCTGCACTTATCCGTCATTATCGAGGAGCTATAGACTCGCGCACAAACCCCTTTTGTCGCGGAAAAGGGCTCTCTCGCGCTACTGAATTTTTCAAAACGCGTGCGGCGCATAAAGGCCCAAGCCAACTGTTTTCCCTTCCGCAGGCGAGCGAGATTAAACATTCAAAGGGCTCGGCGGCAAATAGCGGTGGGTCGACGAGCGACGCCAATGTCCTGCTGGCGAACGAATGAAAATATATGTACATTTTACGCTAGATGACGGCAGGAAGTAATTAGCGAAAAAAAAAGCTGCGGCGTGTACAGTCAATTGAAGCTTCATATTTTCCGCCGGTAAATAAAATTGGGAATGCAGGCCCTCGCAGCTTAATAAGAGGCAGGCAGCAATCAAAACGTAATATCCCGGCGCGCGCACACACGCGCGCGCGCGCTGAGCAAAGTAAAGTATACCGTCGAAAGACGACACGGAAATAGTACTTCATGGAACCATCAAAAATAGAAATGGCGCAAGAGAGCGAGCGAGCAAAGACAGTATAAATCATGTTATTCCACCAGCGGAGAAGAAGAAAAAAAAAAAAGAAACGAGCGAGAAGCAGGTTGCGGCAGTGGGAAGGTATACAGAGCTACTTATTTAAAAGGCCATTCGTGATTGCATCTAACCGGCACGGCAGCGCGGACGAATAAGACATCGGCAAATATAACGAAAACGCCATTAAGCGTCTAATGGCAGTCATAGCCTGGCTTTCATATCGAGCGCATTTCTGAATAATAAAAAAGGCAAGTCTGGGACGCAGAAGGGGGTAAACATGTGTGCACAGCGCTCGGTCGTGCGAATATCATTTTCTTATAGTTGCCGGCCGCGTTGCCGCGCTCGCCCCGCGACTGGAACCTCGGCCGGTGATCATTGCGCGCCACGCCAGGCCGCTTCGTCATCGAGCGCAGCGACGAAAGGGCTATAATAAAAAGACTCCCCCGGTTAATGCCCGTGCGGCTCTCTGTTTGCTTTTCGCTGATTCGCTTGCCCCATCGATCGCAGCCGTGCACCTAGGCGCGCGCGCGCGCTCTTTCCCGCTTCCGCGCGAGTCCGTAAGTCGACGAGGGCCAATCCGCGGTCCACTCGGCGTCGCGCGTTCGACCGATCGGTCACGCGCGCGCCGAGGAATCATCCTCGTGTCATTGTTGATGTTTAACCAGCGCGCCATCCCCGTATCTTTGGCTTAGCCTGGCTCTCGAGAGTGTGTGCCCAGTCATCGAGTGAAACTCAGTCGGCGAGAGTGCTCGGCAAACACGGCAAACAATTTTATATCCGAGACGATATGGGAGGCCAATTTTCACTCGGCAAATTTTCCCGCGCGGACGTCTAAACAAATATTGCATTTGGCAGGGCTTTTTATCCTCGCCCACGCTCTCCCGAAAAAACAAGAAAGAAATTCCAATTCCCTCGTATTTGCATTGCGAATGCCATATATACTCGGCTCGTGATTTTTGTTTGTCCCTCGCTCGCTCTCCGTCCTCGTGTGCGGTGCCTGTATAAATCGATCGCGCACAAGAGTGCTGGATGTAAGTCCGAAGGCAATCTGCCGTACGCAGCAAACAATCGATTGAGAATTTTGCGGAGAGTTCTTTGACTTGGCCTCCCCTCTCCCGACGAGGATCGTTATCGTGGCACGAGAAAATGGTATATAGCTTCGCGCAGCTCCGCGAGCGCTGGCCAGTCGCGCATGCCTCCGATACGTACCGCAGCACTCGTGGCAGCGTTTTACAAAACGGCCCTCCGATCATTATTAGCTCTCGTCTCTCGTCTCTCGTCCGAGCGAAAGCGAAAGGAATGCTGCCGCGCGCCCGCACTAGGGCCTAATCACTGCTCCTAGGTTATATAGGAACTGTCTAGACCACCGCGCGCTGCGGCAGATTGCTCCTCTCAGCGATCGATATGAGC